AAACATTTGTTGAGATGCCTGAAGGGTAGCTTGGACAAGAAATTGAAGATACAAAACAGTCAGGTTGGGCTAGAGTGCTTTCTGGATAGTTCATTTGCTTCAGAGCTGCATGATAGAAAGTCAGTTACAGGATTGTTGATCAAGTTTGGAGAGAGTGCGATAGAATGGAGAAGTAGAAAACAGGGATATGAAGCAGAGTTTGCAGCATTGTCAGAAATAGTCAATGAGGTTCAGTGGATTAAACAGTTGTTACAGGATTTCAATCAAGATTGTCCTGGACTGGTTCTGATCAATGAAGATTCTCAATCATGCATTGCCATGTCAGAGGAAGAAAATTTGAAATGCAGAACAAAATACATTGGAGTAAGATATCAGAATGTCAGAGAATTGGTACAGAAAGGAGTTGTGCGTCTGCAGTATATAGAAACAAGGCATAATTTAGCAGACATTTTGACAAAACCATTGACAATTGACAGATATGACCAGATGTCATGTCTACTAGGGATGTCACCTTAAGTGTACAGGCCTAGCCATTGTGCTAAGATAGTTTCATAACAAATAATAGTGTGCTTCATATACACATCTGTACATTTCAGGAGGGGATTGTTAGAATATAGTTGGGTTATACAGTCAAAGGTGAAATGTAGAGATGTGTGTCTGGAATTTTCTGCATGAGAACAACATCTAGGCAAACAAAAACAACCTAGTCCAGGTGGCCAGAGAGTCATTACGTAAGAAGTTCCTAGCTGAGAAAGGCAGCAAAGAACAGATAACAGTATCCAAAACATTGTTAGGCCTGGGAAAGAAACCACGTGGTGGATGATGGCCAGCTAGGGGCTGGGTTAACAAACATCATACACATAACATCCAATCAACATAAGGTTAACACCCAGAAGGTGGAGAAAGGGCAGGGCTGAGAAATCCCTTTGTCTAGAATTGTTTATATTTCTTGCTTTCTTCCTGTGTGTGTGTGTGTTCGCAATGGATCTAACTATGGAGTTAATTTCTTGGACTATAATATACTTATATTGCTTTTACAATGTAACTTTTGGATCTGGAAACATGGATGTGTAACTCT